AAAAAAAAAAAAAAAAAAAAAAAAAAAAAAAAAAAAAAAAAAAAAAAAAAAAAAAAAAAACTCATCCCTCTCTTTCCACCAATTTCTCACATCTCCCTCCCATGATGAGTCTGTCATAGATAAAAAGAAAAAAGAAAAAAAAAATGTAACTTATTTCCCAACTCTCTCCTTCCATCTCTCACCACTACTTCCCTAAAATAACAATGTCACTAATAGTTTCATCCTTAGTGTAAAAATAAACAGATATAAAAAAATAAAAAAAATAAAAAAGACTTAAGCAGATTTAAGGTATGAACAAAAACAAGCCCAAAAATAAAAATGTTTAGATTTATATTTTTACTATATGTCATATATGTCATTTGAAGAGGTCAAGAGTCTTCCTTTTATTTTATTGAAGAATATTAATTTAGTTACCATTAATTAATTTTGAATGAAATATTAAATTATAAGAATTTTGTATGAGTTTTAGGAAATGTTCTATCCATTTTGAGAGAGAAAGTAAGAATTGATTAAAAAAAAATGGCTAAAACTAACTGTGAAGGAGGAAATAAATGGAGATAAAAAGGGAGGATTGTGAATATAATTAAAAGGAAGAAAAAAGGGAAAACAAATGTTAAATGTATTAAACACAATAAAAGTAGAATATCTAAACTGTTGAAGGTATTAAATGGTTTGTATGAAAATAACTATAACAAAGATATATAAATATTTCCAGACTTAACTCATGCAAAGGCTCTAACGTTCGCATGAAGTATAACATAAGAACCAATGTAAATTAGAGAAACAATTTTGTAGGAGTTCAAACTTGAAACTGAATTCATGAGTTCACATAGGTTGACTTGGATTTCAATTGACAAAATCAAACTTTCATTAAGGATAAATTTGTGACATCAGCCTAAGCTAATCAGGTATGTAGTCTTACTATCTGCATAGTTATATTTGATGTTGACACGTATCATGTGGTTCTGCAATGTGTCATATATATTGATATGAGCGAATTGTTTATGGATCGACATGCTTATGATATGATATGTATATGTTATAATATGTGATTGTATGATAATACTTATATACGATGTATTCAATGATATGTTTAAGATAGGATATAAGAAACATGCACTAAACCTAATGTAATGATAGGAGTAAGGTATGTTCATGAAACGTTAAGGTTAGGTTAAGTATCAAAGTGTTATGGATATGAGAGATTGATAAAAATGATATGGTCACGATTGATTGATAAAAGAATATGGTTAGGTTATGGGTAGAAATGGATAGGATTATGATAGATTGATAGAACGATAGTGTTAGGATACGTTCTTGTAACAATATGACCAAAGTACGTCCATGTAACGATATGATTATGATAGATATAAGAATGTTAAGGTTATGATAAGTTAAGGAATGATATGACCACGAAGTGTTTACGATATGATATGACATGTGAATGACGGATGTGATATGATATGACATATGTTATGGTACGAGATATGTGATAATTGACATGTTTATGATATGATATATTGTGATGCAATCTGTTATGGTATGATATGTACATGATGAAAATTGTTCTGTCTAAAAGCATGGAATGTTATGGTATGATATATTTATGTAGTTTGAATGATATGATGTGATTAACATGCAAAACGACGAACTAACATGAAATACAACCCCGACGTATGAATAAAATATATGATAAACGATGTGTGAAATGATATGATATGTACTGAACGCTAGCAGGGTTATATTAAATGATAATAAAAATGGAAAAATGTTAAGACCTCATGTATTATTGTGTGCGCATGCATTGGTCCCCAATACCCCTTTCCCTTCATAATAATTCGGACGCGTACGTTATGAGGCAGAAAAATAATCATTATGGTTATCATAATGCTACGATGATCAAGCAAAAAAACGTTCATTATGTTTATGTAGCGCTAAAAAAAAAATGATCAAAGTCAGAGGGCCAAAAGGGGCATTTTGCTCCTCAACCCATTATAGGGGTCTTGAGGATTCTCCACAGATTACCTGCAAAAGAGAAAAGTGTGAGAAAGAAAGTTGAGAGAAAACTTGAGAGGGAAAAGTAAATCGTCAGTCCTCGTCGGAGAATCACCAACGAAATTCATCCTCTATCGAGACTTACACTCTAGAGCTTCTTCTTAGAGAGAAAAAAGACTCGTGTTGTTGAGGTTGCATCTTTCGTCAAGATCCGAGAGAAATCCTCAAGGTAAGATCTCGAACGTTACTCTTTAGATCTGAGATTTTCGTTTGGGAATAGAGTGTTAAGGTTTACTATCTTCATCTAGGGAAGATCCACCACTGATTTTGTGAGGAAATCGGACGAAATGTTGAGATCTGAGAATCTTTCCAATAACGGTAAGGATGTTATCGGACCTTTTTCCGACGCTCATAACTTGTCGTATAATTAAGTAAAAATCAAGGAAAAAATATTGGCACATAGGTTGTAGTATGATCTAAACTTTGTTGAAGAAGTCATTACGGTTTGGATTAAGAATCGAGTGATAGAAAAACGAGAAGAACGTCGAAAAACTAATCGGAAACCTCGTTTTTCTGCTAGGAGAAGAGAGAAGGCGACAGCGCGCCACGTGTCAACCGGCAAGAGGTCCGCATGCGCCAATAACCACCGGCCGCTTGGGGAGACGTGGCTCCAGCCTTCCAGCGACACACGTCCATGGCCATGCAACCCGACCCACATTCCTCAGCTGGCTCGATACCTGCACGACAAAACGAACTGCGGCGACCCGCGGTCCACCCGAACCACTGCACCCGAACCGAACCGACGACCCGTGGCTACAGAAAAACGTATGCATGTGACACTCGCGCGTGGAATCGGCAAGTTTGTCCTAGAGTATGGTTGGCACGTGGAAGTGCGTGTAAGCCCGTTTTCATCCCGTTCGACTCCTGTTTTTCCTATTTTCCTCCCAAATCCAATCCTAACTTTATTTTATATGAAATAGGATCTAATTGAGGAAAATTTAGTACTTATGCTAATTGTGTGAAAACTCTACGTAAGGGCATGCATCATCCAAGTAAGCCACCACACGGATCTTTAGAAAGAAATACTTGTAGGAGTCGCTTGGATATGCATGCATGCTAGTTTAATTACCTTATGTAGTAGTTTTCCATGTTTGATTGTAGGTAATTTGTTTGTTAAGATTATGGATGTTTTATGAGAAGTATTATGAGAATCGTCTGAGTGTTGCAATTATGTTTTAACTTCCGCTTTATATGTATATGTTTATTTCATGCTAAAAGGAGGATGGGAACTTGTGAACTCTGCGCTTCGGGAGTTGATGGGTGTTATCGCCCCGTTGAGCATGTATGTTTACTTTGCATGAAATATGTATGATGATGTTGGATGATAGTTGTGTGCACACTCAGTTAATTTTCATGACCCACATTTGATAAAGTCTAGGGATTTGTGGTTAGAGTGACAAGTCAATAAGTATAGACCTAACCTCTCCCCTAGGAGCCTAACAAACCACCACGGCATACAAACCACCTCTAGAGTACCCTTAGCTTACTTGTGTGTGATTGGTGTTATAGCTTCGTGGGGGACCAGTGGGTTCCTGATCAGGACTCGACTCTCGATAGCTGTTTAGCATGGGAAACGGGAGACCCACGTTGTAACTAACCATTTAGCTGGATGGGATAGGGGGAGGTAGCCCTCCCCAATAAAGGGGGATTACCATGGAACTAGGGAGTTGCAACTCACTTCCTAGGCAAGACACCAGGTAGTCACATAGCCATGCCGAGGTAGCTACTCGTAGGGCACCAATCAAACACAGGCTAGCATAAGGGAACTCTTAGGGTTTAAATGAAAGAACGAAGAACCAAAAAATCCCCAAGGGACAAGTCCCAAGGGGCATGCCCTAAGGAGCTAAGACTAGAACCAGATGTCTTAGAGCCAGAGAGAAGTCTGTGGAAATCTGTTAAGCTTAGACTACGCTTCAATTTTATTTTTTTAACGGGAAGTTACAGAAATCATCTTTAAAAAAACATAAGGAAATACTAAATAAAACATAATGCATCAAAAGTAAAACACCCTAGGATAACCTAAAGTCTTAGAAATGAAATACCACTATCCTATGCAAGATTTATGGTCTTTGCTTGCAATGTCGTCATCAGCGTACAAGGGTGCCTTGCCTTTACCTGAAAAATAGAAGTAGCACATGGTTTGAGTATTTTAAGAAATAATCACTAAGTTACCCCACTATTGGAGTCAGGGAATGCAAACACATGCAACTCATGATGAGGGACCTATCGTTAAAACCATCTTAGGGGTGGCCTCTACTCTAGATAAAATTGGATGTATAGTATTTTCCTACATACGATCCACACGTGCGAGCGTGAATCGCAAAGCGATTCGCACCCCTGGACCCATCATGTAATAACCCAAAAATTACGGAAACAAATGGGGGAAGAGAATCTGTCTCACATTGCTTAAGTTGAAAAGTGGGAAGTTGACCTCCACGGTAAAAGGGTTGCCCCTTGCTTCGTTTTATCATCCCACTTGAATGGTTCAAAGCCAGTTAGAGAATACTTTCTGATGGCTAAAGGCCAACATTTCAATTGATCCGGCTTGAGTCTGATACGCTCAGACTCTTCTAGTTTTAACTCTTCTGAAGTGTTTAAGGTTAGTTTTACCATCTTATAGGTAGTTTAAAATTTTGAAGTCAAGTTTAAATTATTTATCCATAATTAGTCTTAGCTAGTTTAAATTATTAGGAGTAAGTTCAAATTATTTTATGCAAAATTAGATGAGTTAAATTACATAGTAGAATTCTAATTTATGATTGTTGGACTCCTGAGGTATAATGAGCGTTAAGATAGCATCAAGGAGTCGTAGTAGTTTTGGCCTAAGCCAACCAAGTAAGTGGCCTTACTATAAGCTCGGTCGAAATACTTGCCTTATGTATGACGACATGTGCCAAGTGGCCCTTGCAAGTGTCATTTGTGCTTTATGTTATATTATGATGTGATATGATGTGATATGATGTTATATGATGATGTTGTATGAAGTGATGTGATGATGGGATATGATGATATGATATGATGATGTGAAGATGTATATGATGACATGATGATGATAACATGATGATGTAAGATGCATGATGATGATGATGTTATATTATGATGTGATATGATGTTATATAATGATGTTATATGATGATGGGATATGATGACATGATATGATATGATGATGTGATGATGTATATGATGACATGAAGATGATAACATGATGTTGTTATATTATGATGTGATATGATGTTAGTATAATGATGTTGTTATATTATGATGTGATATGACGTTATATAATGATGTTGTATGATGTTGTATGATGTTGTATGATGTTGTATGACAATGGGAAATGATGATGTGATGATATATGATCACATGATGATATAAGATGCATGATGATGAGATGACTTAATATGATGTTATTCCATATTAAGATGATGTGCATGTATTAAATGTCATGATATATTATGGCGACGAGTTTTCTAAGACACAACCCTAATTGATGTTAATGACGATGAACGTATAAATGCCAACACATGCATGTTACCTAGTGTAATGCATGAATATATAGGATTGTGTCATAAGGATGATTAAGATGAAAACTATAGGGACCTCATGCATTTTGTGTATTCATATGCATTGACTTACGTCCACATTTATGATGATGAGTACGGATATGTACACTATGATGATGGTCATCATCATCATGTCTCGCATGACACTCAGGGATTTGCTGACATCCGGCTACAGACAGCTAGTCCGACTATGATGGAGATTCACGCTCATATGTGTGGGTCGTGTGTAAGAAAGTATACACATTCAATTTTGTCCAGACTGAAGGTCACCCCTGTGATATGCATGTGTTTGCATTCTCTAACCCCAATAGCGGGATCACTTACTGAGTATTTCTTAAAATACTCAAGTCGTGCGCTACTTCTATTTCAGGTAAAGGTCCCTTGTATGGCTGACGACGGCATCACAAGTAAAGACCATGGCACATGCATAGGATGGTGGTATTTCATTTCTTAAACTTTAGGTTAGTCTAAGGTGTTTTACTTTTAATGTTTTATTTGTTTTATTTAGTATTTCCTTAGGTTGTTTTAAAGATGTTTTTGAACATGTAAGTCCATGACAGCATTTTATGTTGATGTTTTAAATGTTTATTTCTGCATAAGAGAGTATGTTGTGATGAAGGTAGCGGATTTAGGTTAGTAGAAATCTAGTGTCGTTATACATCATTATCGAGCTAGTTGTTCATAGTCGTACATCCAGAGATCAGTAGACCCTGAGTGTCATGTGAGAGATGATGATGATCATCATCATAGTGTACGTGTTCATACTCTTCATCATAAATGAGGAAGTAACTCGATGTTTATGTACACACAAAATACATGAGGTCCCTGTAATTTTCATCTTTAAATCATTTTTATAACACAACTCTATATACCATTCACATATTACTCTACGTAACTGTAACGACCCTAAATTTCAACTTATCTAGAGTCCCTACCGTTATCATCATCTATACTTGTATGCAGAATTAAAAATTTAAAACTTCATCATAAAACATAACATTCATCTTAAACACACCATAGACTTACATGTTTTGAAAACACCTTTAAAATACACAACGAATCAGTCTTAACTACTATGGATGTGTAGTACTTCCCTACACACGAATCACACGTGCGAGTGTGAATCCCAAGGGGGCTCACACACCTCCTAGACCATCTCAAGTCAAGCTACTCTGTAGCGACGTTCGCAGGCCAGGCCAGCGGAACCCCTAGTGTCATGCTCCCCATGAACACCCTTATCACAATACTGTGCCCATCCGCACTCATCATCATAAATGGGAAAGTATCTCAATGTATATGAATACATAAAATGCAGGAGGTCCCTATAATTTTCATCTTTAAGACACAACACTATACACCGTTCACACATTACTCTATGTAACATGCACGCATTGACCTTCATACATTCATCATCATTTGTTTAACTAGGATTATGTCTTTAAAATCTTGTCGTCATAAAGCATCGTGTCATTTAATACATGCACAACATCTTAATATAAAACATCATCATATTAAGTCATTTCATCATCATACGTCTCGCATCATCTTATTATTATGCATCATCGTCATCATGTCAACATTATGTACATCATAACATCATCATATAACATCTTCACATCATTAACTAACGCCATCAAGTCATCACATAACATCATCACATCATCGTCTAACGTCATCACATCATCACATAACATTATCATATCATCATCTAACATCATGATATCATCATCTAACATCATCACGTCATCACATACATTATCACATTATCACATAACATCATCACATCATCATATAACATCATCGCATCATTATCTAACGTCATCAAGTTATCATATTACATCATCACATCATCATACAACATCAACACATCATCATCTAACGTTATCACATCATTATATAACTTCATCACATTATCATATAACATAAAGCATAAATGACACATGCAAGGGTCATTGGGCATGCATAAGACAAGTCTTCCAACCGAGCCAATAGTAAGGCTACTTACATAATTAGCTTAAGCTAGTGTCACC